TGATCATTTCAAAGATTTGAAAAAAAAAATCATCAATCCCAATTATGGATGGTCCATGAGCTTTTGGACAAGTACTCACATTGCTGAAAATCAGAGATAAGAAGGTCTTCTGTGATTTATTTGAGGTAGGAAAACCAGACCTTCCATGGGAGTCCTGAAATAGACAAGTTTTGAAGAAGGACAAATGACCTCTCTCCAACAGACCTGACTTCCGCAAAAAATATGATAGAGCTCTGTCCATTTTGTTTCATTCATTACATTCCTTTAAAAAGGGGTGGAATTAAATGTCATCCCTACCATCGAAAAGGTGTCCTAAATTAACCACAATGGAAGAAATTAATTGTGAGTAGAAAGGCTGAAGCAATCAGAGATGTTGCAGCTTTAACTGAGAAAAGATCTTTTTACATATATCTAAGGATGATCTAGGGATGTGGTGGCTCAGTGGCTAAGGCGCTGAGCTTGTCGATCGAAAGGTCAGCAGTTCAGTAGTTCGAATCCCTAGTGCTGCCTAATGGGGTGAGCTCCTGTTACTTGTCTCAGCTTCTGCCAACCCAGCAGTTTGAAAGCACGTAAAAAATGCAAGTAGAAAAATAGGGACCACCTTTGGTGGGAAGGTAGCAGCATTCTGTGCACCTTTGGCATTTAGTCATGCTGGCCACATGACCATGGAGACATCTTCGGACAGCGCTGGCTCTTTGGCTTTGAAACGGTGAGCACTGCCCCTAGAGTCGGGAACGACTAGCACATATGTGAGAGGGGAACCTTTACCTTCAACTTAAGGATGATGTAACCAAGTCAGAGAGAAGAAAGGAGAATATAGGCAGTCCTTCATAAGTGCAGAGACTACCTTTCTTTGACCATTTCCCTGAACTATCTACATACAGGTAGTCCTTGACTTACGACCACAATTGAGCCCTAAATTTCTGTTGCTAAGTGACTTTCTTGCCACAGTTTTAAGAGAATCACTGAAGTTGTTACGTTAATAGCATGGCTGTTAAGTGAATCTGGCTTCCTCATTGACGTTGCTTGTCAGAAGGTCACAAAAAGCGATCATATCACCCTGGGACACTGCAACCCTCCTAAATATGAATAAGTTGCCAAGCATCCAATTTTTGATCAGGTGACCATGGGGATTCTGCAACGGTCATGTGAAAAAAGTTCTAGGACCCTTTTTTCAGTGCCGTTGTAACTTTGAATGACCCCCTAAATGAAGTGTTCTAAATAGAGGACTATCTATACAATCCCAAGCTACGAAGGCCTTCACATTCTCTTTCCAAATTATAAGATTTAATGTACCTGGGGAAAAAATATATATTATTACACAGGAAATAAATAGTATTAAGTGCAGCTTATTGTTTCATTCAACTTGGATGAAATCCAATTTCATTTTTGTCCTTACCTTATCTATTTTTAAAAAAGTGTGGCTCTTGCCATATCCCTCAAAAGCAGATATAGCTCTTGGCCTGGGGAGAGAAAAAAGTCAATTTTCAGAACACCAGAGAAAGAAAAGAAGGAGGAGGAGGAGGGGGAGGGGGAGGAGGAGGAGAAGAAGAAGAAATAGAAGTAGAAGAAGATGAAGATGGAGGAGGAGGAGGAGGAGGAGGAGGAGGAGGAGGAGGAGGAGGAGGAGGAGGAGGAGGAGGAGGAAGAAGAAGAAGAAGAAGAAGAAGAAGAAGAAGAAGAAGAAGAAGAAAGTAAGGATACAATTATTTCCGTTCCCCCAGTATGTTGGTTCTTCTATTATGCTGAGTTTGGTTTAAATCAATATTGAAGAACATAGCAATACATAGAGCCAGTATTAATCACTGACTTATTTCCACATGGAAAGTGCTTTACTTTGTTAAGGAAGGCATGGGTAAATAAAATACATGAAAAGCAAGAGAATGACGGATGAGGAGGTTAATTGGGAAGATGAGTGGAGAGCAAGTCACCCACTATCCTCTTGAACACCTGTTTCCAAGCTAATTCATGCAGTAGCCTTGGTGTCTACAACTCAGAGAGCCACCTGCTGTTTTCTCAGCTTTCAAGTGCTATTTTTAAAGTGTTTGCCAGGAAGGGAAAGTCAGTCAGATAAAGTGATTTTATTACTAGTCAGGAAGATGGGTTGGCCTGTAAGTTTCAAGTTGGAGAAACTCAATAAAAGTGCCTAAATCCCTTGGTAAACCTCAAGGCAACATGTCAAGCGAAGGATAGATGAATCTGTCAGTGTTGCTTTCTCCTGCATTTGGTCTTCCTTCTTGCTGATGTTTTAAATCTAATTTATGACAACGTTTGTTAATTTTGACCATTAAACTCCCCTGAATTCTTTACCTACCTGCATTGGTCCAGTTTAATAAATGAAACTATCTGTTGTGACCTAGGCTTCCTGAGTCATTAAAACACACGAGTAGTCCCAAAAACCTCTTTTATTGCAACAGCTGTGAATTACATTCATTCAGAGTCCCAATTAGTTGCAAAAAGTCCTTCAGGAGAAGTCCTTCGGGATAATCACCAACCTTTATCTCCCTTGATACGCTGCCAAAGACCTACTTGGCAAAGCCACACAGAGTCCAGAATCAAACAGAGATGCTGACTGGGAACAGAATTAACAACATTGCTTTCCTGCAAAGTGCCCACATGCCTTTGCTCCTCTTTTAAGCCTTATGGGAGGGGCTCATCATCTCCAGGCCTTACTCCTGAGTCGTCCCTTTCGTTTTAATTGTTCTTGCCTTCTGGCAGCTCTGTGCATGCGCGCACTAGGCACAGGCTCCTCCTGTTCCTCTGCTTCTCTGCTGTCCGACTCTGCAAAACCTACAAGTCCTTATGGGGGGGGGGAGTTACTAAGCAAGCTTTACTTGGATAGTACATGCAAATTAACTTCTAAAAGAAAATGAAAAATTGTGTCGAGTGGGGAGGGGGAAAACCAAATTGAAGCATGCGGACTTCTGAGTAGGAACATTCCAACATTTGTTATTGTGCTATTTATAATTCTGCAATGGAAAGCAATAAAGAGCTAATGTGAAATACATCAAATAATGTTACATTTTTGAAATGTTTTCTGCCTCTCCCAGAGATGTTAATAGGTGGGAAATAGTGGGCGAGCTGTTGCCTGCCAATAATGTAGAGTTCCCTAATGTAATAGAAAAATCTCATGCATTCAGGAATAAAATGAATTCAATAATTACTTGAGGGATGCTTAGCTATTTGATTTAATATACTCATAATACCTGGTATTAAATAAAGCCACCATTTACTTCACCTGAGCATATGCAGCACGGGCTATATTTTACATGTTAAATGAAAGAAAGGGCTTGGTAAATTCAGCAAATACACAAGCTAAATGACCATGGCTTTACTGATGACAAGTGGGCCCAAAGCTGTTAAAAATAAAAGTAATATCACTTTGGGAAAACATAACAATTTGTACTGAAGCCACTGCTTGTCCCGTTTATCCAAATGAATACAATGGGTGAGGGATCCTTGGCGCTCTCTGAACTTAGTTGTTTTTTTTCCCCAAACATTTCATTATCTAGGTCCGTGATGGTGAATTTATGGCACACGTGCCAGAGGGGGCACGCAGCATCCTCTTTGATGACACATGAGCTGTTGCCCCAGTTCAGCTCTGCTGCGCAGGCATATGTGCTTCCCGCTGGCCAGCTGGTCTTTGGATTTCTGCCGCACATTTGCAGGGGCATGCGGGTGGCCACGCACCCATGCATGGGGTGGTGGGGCACATGCGCGGGGGCTGTGCATATGCATGGGGGCAGGGTGCATGGGGGGGCTGCATGCATGCAAAGGGGGTGGAGCACATGCGCAGGGGCACATGTGCGGGGCAGCACATGCATTGCATTTGGGGCATTCCGGGGGGCACACGCGCTTTGGGAACTCGGTCCGGAAAAGATTAGCCATCACTGATCTAAGTACTATCACTGATAATGTTACCTAGCTCAGGTAACGTTTTCTGCAAGAAAGCAATCAAGCTTAGAGAGCACCAAGAAATCCTCATTTCAGCTCTGAGCAACAAATATTCTCCTTTATTGGAATACAACGGATATTCTAAATCCATGGACAAATTTCTGCCTTTCTCCCTTGTGTGCCTTTTCTATATTTGTCTCATCTCCAAGACCTGTATGGGACATCTTATCCATAGACTAAAACAGGGGTTCCCCAACTCCTGGGCCACGGCCCATTACTGGGCTGTGGCCAATTCACAACTGGACCACTTGAGCTCAAGTTGTGTGAGCAGTGGGCTGGCCAGGGATTGTATTCACTTGCCTTTGCTACCAGTTCACAAATGTGAGTCCACGCACCAGCTCCGTGCATGCACAGGACCTTCCGCGCATGCACAGAGAGTCAAAAAAGGGATGTGATGATGTCCAGACGGGCGGGTGGGTTGGCGTTTGGGCGGAGCCTCCTGCCGCTGCTACCGGTTCACCTGAACCAGATAGAACCAGCTGAATACCACCACTGGGGCTGGCGTGCATGCACATGTGTGTGCAACACAACTCACGCAACCCTGTTCCCTTCTCCCCCCCCCTCCACCGGGACTCCAAGGTTCAAATGTTGGGGCCCGCTGATCTAAAAGAAGGTATAGATGTTCGCTTTTTGATGAAAAGATGTCTCAAATTGAATGTTTGTTTAAAAGAATGAATTTTCATGTTGCTACCGTGAAGCTATAAATTAAAGTTAGAGGTACAGGATTGCATTACACAAAGATTAAAGAAAGACCCCAAGAACTTGATTATCCTATTTTAAAGCGGGAACCAACACTTACAAATGCAAATGTCTCAATTTAATGATAAGAAACCAGGAGAAGGGAGTTCAAGCAAGGTAAGTAAAATCATATATTGGGTAAATGAACATTAAAAAATAAATTGGTGGCGTATATTATATAACACTACCGTTTTGGCACTGCCTTTCATTAATAACAAATATTTAAAATATTTCACAAGGCTAATGCTTTTAGGAAGACTGGAAAACTATTTTTTCTCTTACCATTCTGCCCATCTCATCCCTTCCAGATAACACTTTCAACATTTTGACCAAACGCAACGGATTCAGCCGGCAGAAACAAGAAGTCTATTTTTTACCTATCATCATCAGTGACAGCGGGAATCCTCCAATGAGTAGCACCAGTACTCTTACCATTAAAGTCTGTGGCTGCAGCAATGACGGCATTGCCCAGTCCTGCAATGCTGAAGCTTATGTTCTCCCTATTGGTCTCAGCATGGGTGCTTTAATAGCAATTCTGGCCTGCATCATTTTGCTTTTAGGTACGTATGAATATATTGCTGGGGAAAGACACAAATGTTGCAATGATTTAGGATGTTAGACTTGGATGATGGGTATCTGCGTTGAAATGTGTTTTGAGCCATGGAAGATCATAGGGTGACTTGGGTCTGGTCTCTCTTCAAAAATGATTGAAGCAAAGCTGGCTGAGAAATTCCGGGAGTTGAAATCCACAAGTCTTAAAGTTTCTAAGATTGGAGACCCCTGCTCTAAACCATCTTTTCCCCCCCCCCCCGGGTTTCTGTGTGAGCTTTAAAAATGTATTTCACCTCATTCCTTGAATCCTTGAAATGAGGCTCTTTAAAGCAGCCACATCTTTTTTTCAAGCTCTCAAGCCTGAAGGAACTTTGTATCTCTCTTAATGAGAGCAGAGGGGTGCTGTGGTTAGATTTGTGTGAGATTCAAAGCATTTCTTCTAAATCATATTCAGATCCCTACCATACCAAAGGCTAATTACGATAGAAGAAGAAGAAAAAACCCACCAACAGAAGGAAATGTATGCTGCCTTGATTATCTGGATCAGAGAGATATAAATCTCATGAATAAACAAACACACTTCTCAGGAAGAACTTCTGGGAAAGAAATCTGACTATAGATTGATTCAACCTAACCCCTGCTGTTTTTTATATGCTGATTCAAATCATTCATTCATTTAATTTCTTCCAATTATGTCCACTTTTCTGTCAATGGCAACCCCCATATGCCTAACAGAATTAATACAAATTTAAGCCAATGTGAGAGATGCAAAAAGCATAAAATAGTGACATAAAAAGCAAGAAAAACATTCTTGAAAATGAGTCAACATGCCATTAAAATATATTTATCAGGCAAACTCTCGGGCTTAAATACTCATCTCTGTCTACTTTCCAAACATCTTCATTATAAATGAAGTTTTGTTTTTTTTTTTAAAAAAGCTGAGTCTGTAAACTAAAATAATGATGCCATAGAGTTAAAATCCTAGAATTCCCCAGACAGCAGGGAAGCCATTGCTAAGAACCTTGAGAACTGAAATTCATACAGCTGGAGAGAATACAAGTTGGGGAAAGCTGATTTAGCAGATAGGTGAACACAGGTCTTTTTCATTCTTTTGCCTCTGTGTATGATTTTTTATTTTTCTAAAAACACACATCTTGTAGTTTATAAATTCCCTGGCTCTCAGATTTCAAGTAGATTTTTTCAAAGCAGGGCTTGTAGGGATCAGCATAAACTCAGAAGTTAAATCTGGCTAAAAATAGGAATGAAATCTATTTTAAAAAGCATTCTTACTAATGAGTGAAAATAAAGCAGAAACACCCAAAATTTATTTCGCCAACATCTGCAGTGGTTTTCACTAGTTTTCAATTTTCTTTTCAAATTGCTGTTGTATAAATGATATATACAATTATATCAAACTAAAAAAAATTTTTTTTTTAATCTAGATGTTCTCATTCATTTTAAGAAAGAAATTTGTTTTGTTTTCCAAAGGACAAGACAATTTTAGCAAAATTCTCACAAGTAGAGTGTTGTATTATTGTATTTATTTAATTTTAAGATAACCAAAGATACATATGAATACTCTTTCTTCTCTCCCTGACTTTTCATATTTAATGGTCAGGCTGAAGGAAAGACCACAGAAAGAAAAATATTTAAACACATGTGCAGCCGGTCCTCGCCATTGCCTTTGGTTAGGGTTAGGGAGACAGAGCTGGAAATCAGGTAAGATGGCAAGAAGAGTCATATCTTGCTCCATGCACCCCAAAATAATAAGATCTCCCCAAAAATAAGGCCAATCGCTTATTTCAGGGTTTAAAAAAATATAAGACAGGGTCTTATTTTTGGGGAAACACGGTATCATCCCTTTTCTGATACCAACTATCTTTAAGCAATAGAGTGATGAAAAAGTTCCCAAGTCTATCTTTCTGAAGGGGAATAAAGTTTTTGAGAAATTTCAGCCAAGCATAAATCTTTCTCCAACCATTTTTAAAGAAAGTAAAATACTAGTTCCATAGTACACATAAAACACCCCTCAAGTGTGCGTCTGTATTTTAAAGAAAACCATTTTGTATCCTAAAATTCTCACTTTTTTCTGGAGGAGAAGGAAGTATCCTCATTTGGCTCCAAATAATTGAACTTGGAATGAAATCCTGATAGAAATAAATCTATGCTAAGAGAACACAGTTAAAAAGGGTTCATAATAAAGCCAAGAAAAGAAAAGTTTCAGAAGAAAACAGAATCTTTAATTCAACTATATATGCTAGTTTTGTGGCCACTCAGGAAATAGTCAGGCACAGGAAGCATTTTGTGACTCCCGGTGTTTTCTTTTCTGTGGGAAACGGGTCCAAATGGCTCTCTGAGTGTTTAAGGTTGCCGACCCCTGACCTAAGTATAAAAGTAAAAACCTAAGTCTTTTGAAGAGAAGTTAAAGAGCAACCCTGAAGAATTGTCAGCCTTTCCAGAATGTAGAATGTAGGATGATTCAGAGGAAGGCAGATGTTAGGAGGGAGGAATAAGAAGTATTTGACCAATTATTTAGAGTGGGAAAAGCTCATTTACGCTAGATGATTTCAAATGGAGGGTCAGTATGGAGGCTCGGGATGTTTTCATTTCTTCTCACTTCCATTCATTATGACACATCAGACTTTGTAATTAGGAACCGTCGTCCGGGCTCACCATTTTGTGATATTTCCTTTGCAGTCATTGTGGTGCTTTTCGTAACATTAAGGAGACATAAGAACGAGCCTCTGATTATCAAAGACGACGAAGACGTGAGAGAAAACATCATCCGGTATGATGACGAAGGAGGTGGCGAAGAGGACACCGAAGCGTTCGACATTGCGACGTTGCAGAATCCAGACGGAATAAATGGATTTTTACCCCGTAAGGATATTAAACCTGATCTTCAATTTATGCCCAGGCAGGGCCTGGCACCCGTCCCTAATGGAGTTGACGTTGATGAATTTATCAACGTTAGACTCCACGAGGCTGATAATGACCCCACAGCTCCTCCGTATGACTCAATCCAGATATATGGTTATGAGGGAAAAGGATCGGTGGCTGGTTCCCTAAGTTCTTTAGAGTCATCAACTTCAGACTCAGATCAAAATTTTGACTACCTCAGTGAATGGGGACCCCGTTTTAAAAGACTTGGGGAATTATATTCAGTGGGGGAAAGTGACAAAGAAACTTGACAGTGGATTACAAAGGTTCACTTTTTTCTTTTTCCCAGTCTTGACTTAAAACTTCTCATGTAATATTCTAGGGCCACCACAGTTCATTATGACTAACGTGGCTTTTTGTTTAGGGGGCAACTTTAGCACCAGTCATCTTTTAAAATCAACTACATTGTAATGTTGAACCAAAAAAAAAAAAAGAAAAGTACATAAATCTCAAAATAATAATAATAATAATATATGTTAGGAGGTCTGAGTCTCGTGGAGTGTGGCGTTAAGTATGTAGAGTGTCTAGAAGTCTTTGGATATTCTATATTCACATGACCACTCTGAAGAATGGGTTCTAGAGCTTTGATCGTCTTTGGCAACGGGAATCAGTAATGGAATGGAGAAGGTCTTTCGCTTCCTAATGGACTTCTGTAGGACTTTTTCATTTGGTAAAGAAGATTATCTTCTGAGAGTCCATTAAGAACAAAGGGTTTAGTCTCCCCACTACCCACCAAGTTTTCATGAGGGAAAAAAGGAAAAAAAAAACATAAAAATTTAAAGCAATATCTGTCGTCTTTCCAATGCTGATTTTTTTTCTTCTTCTTAAAGACAGGATTGATAAAAACAAAAACAAAAAAAAAACCTTTTGGCCTCAACTGTTCAATGACTCAAAGTTGTACATAGGATAATTGTTGGCTGCAAAAAAAAAAAAAAAACACCACCACAGACCGAACAATAACATCTTTAAATATTGTGTCAAGCCTTAAAAATATTCACATGTTCTTAATCCATTCCAGGGACAGGATTCAAAATCCACAGTTGTGGGGAGGAAATCTGACAATATGGATTGTTTTCTAGAAGGATTGATCCTTTTTTTTCTTTTGACTTTCATAAGGGGAAAAAAAAAGGAGAGGAATCAGTGAAGGAGGATGGACTCACATATATGAAACTGAAGCTGGTTTTATTGCTGAAGAATGCATTTATTTGTTTAATCCTTGAAATAAATATTTTATTGATGTCCATTACTGCTTTTATTTATTAAGGTTGGGTTTTTGGAAGTGTATAAGGAAAAAAGTAGAACCATCTAAAGTATTGTATTCCATCCACTGACAAAAGTTTTAGAGTGATTTCTTCTATATATAGTGAATGTTATTTGAAACATGCTTTTTCAAAAACAAAACACAAGGATTGTTAGCTGTAGAGGAGTAAAAAAATGAATGCTAGCAAGTGAAAAAAAAGTATGTCCCTAGAGGAAATTAACTTTGGATGTTTTTATATTTATATCATAAACCTACTAACTATGTTCAATACAAGCACAAACAGCTGGAAGTAAACCAGTTCATGTGAATATTAAAACAAACAAACAAAAAATGACTCTAAATTTTAAAAATTCCACACAAAATACCATAAGGTTTTTCTGCTGTGCTAGAAAAGGATCCAGTGTGTATATATATATATTTTCTGCTAATGTTCTTAGCTTTTATTTCTTTTTTTCCTTAGAATATTCATAGTTCTGTATGAAAATCTTGTTCAGAGAAAACCACCTATGGAAGCTGTCAGCATCCTCAATTTGTAATGGAAACTTTATCATTTAGAAGTAGCGTCTGTATAATAAAATTAAATGGTATATAAAAATCATTTTACTTTTTTTCCCTATTTCTGTTTGGAAGCTTTCTTTTTTTAAAAAAAAATCTCAATGTATTGTATTCAGAAAAAGAAAAGGGAAAAAAAACAAAGCAAAATACTTGTAATGTTTCCTACTTTATGGAAATATATTTTTTTATAAATACCTTCTTTGTGATCACGGTTTCTTTTGGTGTTGCCTGCATCTTGCAGAGAGTTGTAATTTCTTTTAAAGGCTTTTTTTTTTAAAGTAATAAGTACATTATGTGGATATCAGACAATATATGAATTTCCTGCCCTGCAAGTAGAAGTAGAATGACTTCCACGAAAGAAATCAAAGAGGGAATTTGAATACCAGCCGCATTGACAAAATCACCATCGGTCAATTGCAAAAGGCAGCTTTACTTGGAATACCTTACATCTTGTAACAATGCCTTTAAGATTGTTAAAACAACAACAGTTGCTTGTGCCAGGTCCTTGAGAAGGGCTCGATAGGTGGACAAATGGCAAATCCAGTCTAAACAACTGACTTACTCTGTGATCGACTGTAATAATAAAAGATGCAGAAATGAATTAGATTTTATGAAGACCTGTACATGTTCTAAATTCACCATGTCCAGAATTGCTAGGTTGATGCAATGCTAAAACAATGAAACCATAGCATGATTTTAACACAATGGCCCAATTTACACACACACACACTTGGTTTGATTGTTTGATTATGTGTCATCAAGTCATTTTCAACTTTTAGCAACCACATAGATAGTTTTTCTTCGTGTTGATTTATCCCTAACCTAGTCTTTCTCGTCTTCCAACAGTGCACCCATCGCTACTGTAACTGAGTCCATCCAACTTGCTGCTGGTCATCCTCTTATTCTCTTTCCTTCTACTTTTCCCAGCATTACAGCCTTCTCCAGAGAGCTGGGACTTCACATAATGTGTCCGAAGTAGGATAATTTGAGACTGGTCATCTGTGCCTTGAGTGAGAACTCTGGGTTGACTTGTTTAATGATTCACTGGTTTGTTTTCTTCAGTGTCCATGTTAATCTCAGGATTCATCTTCAACGCCAAAGTTCAAAAGTATTAATACTCTTTCTATCTTACCTTTTCTATGTTCAATTCACAAGCGTACACAAAGGCAGAACGTGCCAAACCCAAGAGCTTTTGCACCGGTGACAAATTCCTTGTGTGTCTAATAATCTGATCTGTAATTTGCAGAACAGCCACCAAGCATTTAGGACTCATAGAATAAATGGGGGAAGGAGGTTTTCCTCAATGTTCATTTCTCTGAAATCCTTGAAGGCCACTAAATAAAGTTGAATTATTGATCTCAAAACATTCTGCTCGATATATTAAAATGAGAATGCAATACTATACAGTGTCGATGTAAGTGAGCAAATGACTGTGTGATGCGAGTAATAACAGTGATGTTACAATTTATTTTAAAAGTGTCACTTCCCTCCCACATTCTTAAGAACATAAATAAACTGAAAAATGGACTATAAACAGGATCATTTATAGCTGTTTATTAAAGTTAACCGTAACAGCATGAAGGGTGTCTGCAGAAGGGTGAAATAGTGTTCCAGTATGGCACTTCAATGTTTTCATGCTAGCTTGCTTCAAAAGAAGATTGTTTTGTTATTTAACAAGCAGTCATAATTTCATGGGGTGGAGAGTTCCGTATGATTGCATTGCGTTCAGATTAAAATCTCTCATGTAGATAACTAACAAAAATGTTGCAGGATAAAGTGTTCCTCTTGAAGGTTTCACCCCACATCTATATCCTCTTCTTGGACCTCATACTTTTTTCCCCCCACAAATCACATTTTTCCCTACCGCTCCCTATGGTTAGCATTCAATGCTTAATGAACAAAATTCATTGCAATATTTACTTTTTCTGAGAAGACCCCATTTCTTTCGAGAATCTTCTTTTCCTTCTTTCCATCCTTCAAGAGCCCTGGTGGCACAGTAGTTAGTACTTTAGGTCAGCGGTCACCAACTGATGGTCCATGGACCACCGATGGTCTGCAATAAAATTTTGGTGGTCCGCAGAAAAATCATTTGCATTTTTTATATTGCACTAAATCAAGAGTCCTCAAACTACAGCCCCTGGACTGGATATGTGCAATGAACGTTTGTGTTGCTGCAGAGAGTTTCCCCCTTCGGGGTCTTTTTGTGTGGGTCAGAGGGGGGCAGAAATTCCAACTTGGGGATTTCAGTCTCCTGGTACTGGGGCTTTGGGCGAAGGCTGGAGGGAAGGACTGCTGAAGGGGAAGAGCCAGAGGGCCTTGTTCCAGTGGGACTGCATTATGGCCTGGAACTGGCTGATCATCTCAGCCCGCTGAGCCTCCAGGCACTGGTACCTGGCCTTGCACTCCTGTAGGTCTTCTCTCTGCTTGGAAAGCCTATGCTCATAGTCCTCAATGAAGTGCTTCTGCTGAGCCTCCTCCTCGGACAGATCCAATTTGAACTGAGCCAGCTGTTTTGCCAACTCTTTCTCGTGGTGGCTGCTTAGCTCCAACAACTGCTTCCTGTTGGAGCCCTAAGGAGCCCAGACAGGCAGGCAATGAGTGGCTGGGAGGGGCGAGTAGAGGCCAGCGAGGTGCCCTGCAATGTGAGTGACATCGAGTTGGCCACACCCACCCAGTCACATGATCACTTAGCCATGCCCACCCAGCCGGTCATTAGGCAGATCATATTAGTGGTCCGCGGGATTTAAAATTATGAATTTAGTGGTCCCTGAGGTCCAAAAGGTTGGTGACCCCCGCTTTAGGCTAACTGCCCACAGCCACAAGTTCAATCCTGTTCAAGGTTGACTCAGCCTTCCATCCTTCTGAGGTTGGTAAAATGTTGGCTGCAATTTGCTGACTGTGTAAACTCCTTAGAGAAGGCTATAAGTCTAAATGCTATTGCTATTGCTATCCTTCCTTTGGTTTTTTGTTTGTTTGTTTGTTTGTTTGTTTTTGGTACTTCTTCATAAAAAAACAGCACCTGGCAAACTGAACCTAGTGTTAGTGTCATCTATAATACTCATACAATTATGGATACTAGAAGCTTTGGCAAGTGATCCTCACTCCTGTTTTTCTCTCAGCAGACTGAGATCTCAAAAACATGAAGCCACACTAATTGTTAATCCCTTCTCCCCACCCACACACACACACACAAATTAAAAATAAATAATACTTATTTTTCATACAGTTCTCCATAAACCATGTGCAATTATTTAATCCAGGAAAATTCCTAGAAATTTTCTTTCTCTGCGAAATTGCTTTTTTTTTTTAAATCTCCTCCTCAGTGTGCTTCTGTATTTGGGTGGAGGGAGGGTTATAATAATTTGGAATTTATTCCTTACTGTTGTCAATGTCAATGACAATTGGTTAATTTTAATTAATTATTTTTTTTAACAAAACTTTATTCATTCTTAAAAAAAACATTTAAAACATACAAGTTTCTCTTAATCAAGAAACAAATTTACATATACAATACACCACTTCAACTACTATCTAATTTCTATTATTATATATACATATATACAAACCTACAGTGACATATTTCATTTTCTATCTATCTGACAGTGCAATTTTTAATTATTGTTAAATAATTACTGTTGTCAATGTCAATGACAATTAGTTAATATTAATTAATTAATTAATTAATTGTCAACAGATCCTGGAGAGATTTATTGACTGGCTTTATCCAACTGTCCCCTTACTCTGAGCAGAGAACTCCTGATAGAAGGAGTTCTGTCTTCTTGATGTCTTCCCTTGAGACTGAATATAGGCCTGCAAGATTTCAGGCCACTGGAGAAATAATTGTGCAATGAGAGATATAGAAGCCACCTTGGCTACCTCCTATCTCTGGGAAAACAACAGAGAATGGAAGGGACTTTGTACTTTACAAAAAAATGAATAAGCCTTGATAGTACAGTGGTTTAGTGCACCCTGTTATTAACACAGCTGCCTGCAATTTCTGCTGGTTCGAATCTCTCCAAGGCTCAAGGTTGACTCAGCTTTCCATCCTTTCTAAGGTGGGTGAAATGAGGACCCAGTTTGTGGGGGCAATAAGCTGACTTTGTATAAAATATACAAAAGAATGAAGGCTATTGCTTAATGCATTGTAAGCCGCCCTGAGTCTCCGGAGAAGGGCGGCATATAAACCAAATTAAAAAAAAAATAAGAACAGTTGAAAAATATAAAATGAATGTAAAACTATCTCCAAAGCACTGATAGAAAGCTGGCTTAGAGAAAGTGCTGAGTTTTTGTTTTTTTTTTTAAATTAGGGATAGAGTTTCACATCCTTGAAAGAGCAAATAGGGCACCTGCCTCTCCTGATCAATGCCCAACTATCCATCACCTAGGACAGGTTCCCCAATCCCTAAGCCAGTGATGGTTAACCTTTTTGATGCTGAGTGTCCAAAGTGTGCGCGCAAATGCACTCACATTTGCCAGAACCCCAAAAATGCAATGTGAGTGACCCCCATGCATGCACCCTGCCCCCACACATGCATGTACGTTCCCTGTGCTTGCATGCATGTTCCTCGTACATGTGAGGCCCCCACACACATGCGCCCCCCACACCCCATTTTGGTTCCCAGGTTGGGGCAAGAAGCATTCCAGGCCCAAAACCAGGTGCAGGGGGTCCGTGCGAGGTACACGCAGATGCATGGTGGAGTTGGACTGGGGTGACAAGTAGCGTGCCCGTAGAGAGGGCTCTTCATGCCACCTGTGGCATGTGTGCCATAAGTTCGCCATCACGGCCCTAGGCCATGATCCACTACCAAGCCGTGACCTATTTACTACTGGGCTGCACAAGCTGCACATGCACACCGGCCTGTCACTCACTCCTCCCCACCGCCAGGCCATTAAGCCACAAAAGTTGGGAACCACTGGTCTAGGATGGGGTGGCTGAGATACAGAAATTTTCTTGTAACCTCCCTGGTAGACTATTGCAATGCTCTTTATATGGATTGCAAAAAAATCCAACAAAACAAAACAAAACAAAAGGCAGAATGTAGTAGTAAGACCGTAGGCTGGAATAATGTTTAGAGTTCATAAAGCAAGAGGAACTCCATTGAATCCTTGCATATTTAAGACTGGGTTATTGAAGACCTCTCCTAGTATGTAACAGTTGAACTTACTTTCATTTCTTTGAAATCGCATCCTCTGGATGTTCTAACTGTCCTCTCTTGCATTTGGACTTAATAGCTGCAAACCAGTCGCCTGCTCTTTTCCTTTCTTGTTCTTTCTTTAAAAAAAAAAATCTTTACTTCTCTATTACTGTGGGTCCTGAAATATGGTTTCTTTTTATTTCATTTCAGGATGTTATCCTGCGGATTTTATGGCTTGTAATTGGCCCTGAGATCCTTAGGGCAGGTGGCAGGCTATAAATGGTTTAATATTGCAAGCCATGTTGGGTACTTCAGCATAAGCTGAAAGGCACAGGATGGATTTAATAGTAAATAAGAGACAATAAAATATTTTAATGAGTGGGTCAAATAGTTATGGTCGATGGGAAAATCTGGGTGTCCGCGATAATGTTCTCCGATGATGCACAGATAATTTGAGCTTCAGCTG